TCAGGCTAATAGGGATGTCAAAATTTTGTAATACAATACATATATTTAGAGTACTAGAAACACACAAAAGATTAATCAACCATGGAGAGGGGTCCTAGGAAGAGAGCTGTTCAGGGAAATTCCCCCCTTCCCTTCCTCACCGCTTCAGTTCTCAGGATCATTATAGAGATTATGCTCTGCCAGTCATTCAGATGTAAGGGAGGTATCTGGGCAATTTCCTTCTGTGAGCTGAATTAGGGCTTGGGTTGAGATTTTGCCTCAGGGAGATTCTGACTCAGGCACTGCATGCATGGTCACTGATGAATAGAAGTGTATGTTTGGAGCAATGCTTTCATTTCTACTCACGGATGCATCAGGAAGGAGAAGTTGGCCATAGTGGTAGGGAGGCTCTTTGCCAGGGTCCTCTCTTGTTCATGTAATCTGTGCCCTTCACTGATACTTAAAGTGTAACCATGAATTCAAATTTCTAACCCTCAAGGCAACTAATATAGTTTGCCTTAAGATCTCATGGGTCTTTATTACTGGAGCCTGTGGTAGAATTTTAGGCATCAGCAATAGCAGATAGCGTAGTGGTGAGAAGTATTTTCTGAAGGGGAAAGATGTGTTGCTGTCCCCACCTTCATAACCGGGATTTATGTTGCAATTATCTAGGATAAATAGGACTTATAAATAGGATTAGCTTTGATAAACTTATGTAGTAAAACAGCATTTCCTTTTCTAAACCTAAATTGACCCTGCACCTGTCATGTAGTGGATAGTTAAGAAATATTTATTGGGGGTGACTGGGTGGCTCAGTCAGTTAAGTGCCTAACTCCTGATTTTGACTCAGGTCATGATCTTAGGCTCATGAGATCGAGCACCATACTGAGCATGGAGCCTGCTTAAGATTTTCTCTCTCCCTCTCCCTCCGCCCCCCCCCCCCCCCCCCGTGAGCGCTCTCTCTCAAAAGAAAAAGAAATATTTATTGAATGTTGACCAAAAGCATAGACTACAAATTGGAGAGATACAATAGGTATCATTGAATTTTTTGCTGGATTCAGGGTCAGGCTAGTCAGTTCTACCTTCTATGTCAGCTGATGGTGATTCCAGCCTATAATGCTGCAACCTACTATTCAAGTTATACTTACCCTGACTAGAGTGATTTGTAATTTTAAACCAAGGAAGGGAAACCAGTGAATTCAATTTAACACCTTGGAATGCTAAAGAAGAAATATGTTCCAAATTAGAATATTGTTAAGAGAAACCTGAAGGAATACAGTGGATCCAAAAATATCTCTAATGTCAACAAGAATGATTTTTACACTGAAAAGGAAAGACTACATATGTCTTAAACACACATGAAGCCTGATATATGAGGAACTAGAAGGAAACATCTGTATGCTCTAAATTCATATCTCCTGGTCTAGATAATAAATTGTATCTCAAACAGATGAAATTTCTACTTCTATTGTAAATGATGGGAAATAGGAGATTTGCTGGAAAAAGAAGAGAGCCATATGTTCTATTTTTCACAAAAAAAGGGAAGGTAAATTCTGAAAATGATTGCCTATGTTCTTAGTTTGTGATTGTTTCCAAAAGCAGTTATAACTGGAAGTCAGACATTTTCTTCAAGCAACGAATGTTTATTGAATTGCCTTCCAAATTCTAGCTTTTGGGATGTTTTTCATGATATGAATAAGGAAAGATATGTGAGATATGAGGACATATTTCTGTGAACTCACATTTGTTCTGAGTGCCCAATCTAAAGCATCCTTGAGGTCACTTTCTATTCCAACACCCTATTTGAATTTTCTGTGAATTATTTATCTCACTATGACTTTTCTTTTGCTTTCTTATTTCATTGCTTTTAGTGTGTCTCTGTTTATTAGGGTGTAAGCTCTAGAGAGTAAAGGCTTTGGATGTTTTGTTCACTGCTGACTCTCTAATACTTAGAGCAATGTAGGTCACAAAGTAGATACTCAATAATATTTTGTTGAATGAATCCATTAGTTGAACTGTCATATCCGGATAGATTTACAGGATAGATTGATGTCTACGAGGTTGGCAGGACCCAGGAGGCAAGAGCTCCCTATCCTTGGTATATGACTTGAATGAAGATAAAAATGACTTGTCTAACAAAATGGTTCAGGAAATAATATAAAAATTCTTATCTTCATAGTTTGCAGTAACAAACCAAAGTTAATCAGATGAAACTGGATAGAGTAATGCCTGAAGTACTATTTGGGATCTAGAGAAAAAAGCATAATTACATGTTGGAATTTAACTTCAACAAATGTTTTAAAAAAAAAGATGAAAGCATTAGGGATTTTAGGTGGTAGCATACTCTACTCAGTGTGATCCAACGATATGAAATGACTCCAACTTCACTCTCCTTGTATACTCTAAACTGACCACAAACACCAAGGAGACAATTCCAGTTATTATCATCTTCCTTGTATTGACTTTACTGTCGATATCCTAAGGTGATGATGATATTCTACTTTGTGTTAAAAATAAATCTAGTTAAACATAGACTTTTTTTTAAGATTTTATTATTTATTTAGAGAGTAAGTGTGTGAGTGGGGGGAGGAGCAGAGGGAAAGGGAGAGTGTCCCAAGCAGGCTCCATGATTAGTATAGAGCCTGACACAGCCCGATTTCATGACCCTGAGACCATGACCCAAGCTGAAATCAAGAGCTGGATGCTTAACTGACCGAGCCAAGCACCCCAACATGCACCTTTTCAATATGTAAAGGAATATTGACAGAAGAAAGTGATAAGGGTAGTGAAATTCTTCCACTGAGGATCAGTAAGGAGGGGCTTGGTGGAAACAGCAGTACAACTATCATGCAGAATCAAGCTCTTCACATGTGTCGTCATTCCAAGATGGGTAGAAAGGACCAATGGAGTAAGTTAGCAGGAAGCATAGTTTGGCTCAGTATAAGACAGAATTTTTTTTTTTTTTTAACCACTTCTAACAATTAGGCCTAATCATGCTGTCTTGGGAGGTAGGCAAGTGTTCATGTGGTAGGCGAACAGAGGTTTGATCAGAGAGATTCATGTCTTGGATGAGGGGTTGAATGAGATGGTCTTCAATATCACATCTAATTCTAAGATTCTATGGCATTATGTTTGCAATAGCAATATATCTCTCTGTACAGGCTTGTCCATCTATGTACTTTAGGGCAGTTGGGGATAGGAGAACAAACAATGTAAATGATTGTGTGTCCTGAAATGAGAGGCAAGGACCTATGGTAGATAAGTACACAGTTGTTGACTGGCTTGCCTGCATCCATGTCCCAGCTATGACTTACTACCTAGTGGCCTTAGATAAGTTACTTAATATCTGTGTACTTTAGTTTCTGTATATAAACTGGATATGATATAGAATCTACCTAATAGGTTGTTTGTGACAATTGATTGAGATAATGCCCATTAGGCTTTTAGAATGGCACCTGGCTCATATTGTTAGCTATTATTATTATTAAAACTATTATTACAATGAAGTATCCATAAAACCATCACGGAGTATTAGTGATAAATGCGCTTAGGTATTCTTTGTCTGCTTAGATATTCTTTGAGAGAAAATATTATCTTATAGAGAAGGCACGGATATTGGATCCAGACAGGCCTGGGTTCCAAACCTGTTTCTGTTCTTTATGGGCTGTGTATCTTGGACAAGTCCCTTGACCGCACTTTGCCTCCTTTCCCTAATGGTTCTTTAGCTCTAGGGCTTCCATAAAAGTAAATGAGGCCGTGCATATAATTTGCCTAGTACTAAGCGCCAGCTGTTATTCTCCTCAAAGGGATGGCATTTCATTTTCAGTCCTTATCCATAATATGTCATATGGGACTATAGCAGTGCAGGGTCAGTAGAGAGACGAGGGCTTGAAGGCACCCAAGACTTTTCCTCCAGGCCTGGCATTTTGATTTTTCTCTACCTCACCTTCATTCTAAGGAAAATGAGAGTGTTACTTTACCTTCCTCCCATCATTTTTAGTAGAAAATTACTTCAATTATATCCATAAAACCAAAGGCTTTATTTTATTTGACCCTTCTGTCTTCTTCTATGATCCTGTGGTCTGCCCAGGGGACTAAGAGGGCTTGGAGTTGTATGCCAATTTCTAGCTGTCTCTGGGCCCCTGGGGAAGCTGTCTGAGGCAGGGGCTTTTGAAGCGTCAGGAGCCTTGACCTTGGTTAAGCAGTGTGGGACCCAGAGCAATATCAAAACTGGGCTTTTCATTATGCCTAGTATCCTGATTTATACAACTTCCTCATGCTCAACACTCTCTTTCAAATACTCCACAAAACTGAACTATATTACTCTGAGTTTTATTTAAAACTCAGGATGTTTTGTCATTTGACTCATTAATATCACTGCATTAGAAAGAGCAGGAGATGACGCAGTTTAAAAGAGTGAATTTAAGATCAAACGTTTGGCCTTCGAATTTTTTCATTATGGGGTTAAATTGCTGATATGACTTCTATTCAAAATATGCTACTTATTAAACATTGATGCTAAATTTTATGTATTCTGACCCTTGTTTTTATGAATGATTCAAGAGAATGTATCAAGAGTTCAACTAAATTTATTGGCATAATGTTTGTTAACTATGGCATTATAAAAAAGAACCCCTTTCCTTTGAGAATTAAGCAAAAAAACAAAACAAAACAAAAAGCCCACCCACATTTATAGACTAGTAGTACTCCTATGAGGGACACACTGCTTATGAGAAATTTATATGTAACTTTGTAGAAATGGATGTTTTTAAGTTCTGAAACTGTATAGCACATAATTGCCTATAATCCCTAGGCTGATATTTTACTGTGATGTTCCTTTGTTTCTCATTCTAATAAAATATTAACATGGTAAGCTAATTTTTTTTCTGTCAAAAACAAGTTGTAATAACTGTTTTCTTCATTTGATAATGTGTCATTTAACTTGGCAGAACTAGTCTAAAATTATGTTCTATTCTTCCCCCTTTTCATCTCCACTCTTGCTTTCTGGTTACTCATTCTAGCAATACAAGACCAAGTCAAGCTACAAGGCTTTTGCAGCAATCCCTACAAACACATTGCTTTTGGAACAGAAGGTCAGTGTTGGCTCAATAGCAGAGGGAATTTTGTTTCTAGTGTTGTTTTTGTTATGTGTTCCAAAATGTCTGTTTTGAAGTTCTGCTTTTACTAAAATGTTGCTCTTAGTTTAGGGTCACATGATGAAAGCATCTTGGTGAATAGAATTTGAGACGCTATTGATTTATCACCAGAGGCGCAATATGGGCTTAGAATTGTCCAGTCCGCTGAAAAGCAGGCCTGGGAAACTTGATTCAGATTTGAATGGATCCCTGTGCTTTGGAATTTGAAATGGTTGTTATATTTAAGAGCTTCCACCTCTTTTCACATTGATCAAAAGAGTAGAAGCAAAATGGGGTTACATGAGGGCAAATGGCCGGTTGGGTCAACACTTGGTGACTAGTAATGGTTTCTACAGGGTAGAAACATGTTAGCTGAGTATCCACTTTTACCCCTTAGATCCCAGCATGGGCTAAACCTCTTTGTGCATTGTCACCAGCCACTGATGCTACCTCCATGAATAGGAGGGACAATTGAGATTACTTCCAGGGACCCAGCTGCTTTCACATGCTTCTAGGGCATTTTTGCTTTGCTATTAAAAGTCATTAATTATAAAATTACAGGATTCTACTTCAGTAGGTAAATTAAATTAAAACCTCTTGTTTAATAAGCACATTAACATATGCTCAAATGAAGGCCAAATGGAGGATTATATCAGAATCGAAGTGAAATCAATTACCAAGCCGATGAAATTATTCATTTCGTGTTATTTTTATGATATTTATTTAGGCAATTTATCTCAGCGCATTAAGCCTATTTTTTTTTCTGTGTAATTATAGTGTTTCAAATATTGTTGTTATCATTTGTCAAAATGTTAATGTTTGCCAACCAGGCGGTATTTTGACCACTGGTTTATGAATTTACTTTCTTATTATTTTAGTATGATCTGGGAAATAAAATCTTTGCATGATCTCTTGTCTAAACTGTAGGAGTTATTAATGGGAGATGCTCAGTAGCGTACAGGTGGGTATTAGTGGGCAGCATCACTTTTATTTTAATCTCTGGTAACTAACTGATTTATCTACACGTGGGCCAGAGTCTATGCTCTATATGTGTGAATGCTTTCAACTGGGGGGTTGAAGAGACACTGGGCTGCAGAGAGATCTGCAACTTTTTCTCCAGCTTCTCTTCTGAATTTCTACCTTTTATAGCGCATGGAAAGATGAGATGGGCCTAACCACTGATTTCAGGAGGCTCAGGAGGATGCAGGAAGTTAACCCTTTTACCAGTGGTCCCTTTTCCCATCATCTGGGGTTGTTATGTTGAGTCATGGTGCAAAGTTTTCTCACCGCAGACCCCCGGCCTATTTCAGATGGATGTTTCTGAAATATGGTTACAGTGTCTGACTCTACAGAAACGGGAGAACTCTCCTGCTCAGCAGCCAGGCAAAGAGAATAGGGGCCTGTTGGTGTCCCTCCTTCACACTTACCTCGCCTACCCTAACACATTCTCCAGTACCTGTGGGCTACTACTGTAATAGTTTTCTATTTAGACAAATAAGAGTTAATTCTTCCTGAAAGACTTTTGAAAGATAAGGCTGGATATCATTATTGGTTCCAGAATCTCTGTCTACCAGCTCTCTTCTCTTCCAAGTAAATGGATTTTAGAGATTATCATCTATTTGTTGGTCATTCAAAATGAGGAGTCATTAGTTTAATTTCCAGTATCATCACAAACCTATTTCATAAATGTGTACGGTAACATCACCATGTATTGAACCTAATGCAAGTGCGTAGAGGCGAAGGTTTTGTGTTTTAAATTTTGAATAAGACAGACTCTTTAGGAAAATTATTATTTTTTAATTCAACAAAATAGAAATATCATAATGTCTAACTTACAAGAGTGTTTTTCTAGGGAGGATTGACTATTATATAAACACTAGTGTGGGTAATTGTCTCTTGGCTAAGAGAAATTGGTTTTGCACCATAAATATATGAATTGTTCGAAGGTCACAAGATATGACATATATCTGTTTTTTCTTTAGAGCCTTTGTATAATGTCGCTTTTTTTTTTTTTTTTTGCTGGCTTTTCCATATTGTGTGTTGCTCCATGAGAAACTTTAATTTGTAAGAATTTTTAAGTAACAAAAGTCTTATCTCAAGATTTTATCAGCATTTATGTCCATATTCCCTAATACTGAATCATATTTCCATACTCCTTTCACGGTAGTAGTTTTTTAAAAAATAAATCTGGTAATTTAGGTCTTTTTATCCATCTGTTTGTATAATAGAACTCAACCTATGCCATTAAAATCAAAGGGAGTTGTTTCTGAATTGAGTAGGAAAATTAAGACTCTAATCATCTGAAATTCTGTTTTGGGAAGAATTAACACTTTGGAATATTTTCTGAGATCCCTTTAATATCACACAGAACACCACAATTAAAGGGAGGGGAGTTGCTGTGGTCCCATTATAATATTCTGTTAGGGTCTATGCTGTGGAATGCTTTAAAAATAGAACTAATTTAATTTAGACAGTTTAACAATTATTCTCTCCCCTAATCACATTAAACTCACAGTTGATGTTTTATATCACATTTTGTTTTATAGTATATGGTATAATTAACGAGGAACTGGAATCACCTTAAGAAATAATACTATTTTTCAAAGCAAGATTTTTCTCCAAATTGAAGTACAGGCATCCCTTTCAATCACATATTAAGCTATCATTGAATCATTGGATTGGTTTCAGCTTTAATCACCCCTAAATGAAACCTATCATTTTCAAAAGAGTACATTTTGTTGGCAGGGGACATGAGGTTTCTGGTAGTTCTGTTCTGTGATTTATTGTCTGCATCAAAACTTAAATTTATAGCTTATTCTGTATTCTGTAATTTTTTTCCCCATGGACGTTTAGGAAGAAAGCATTTTTAGCTTAAGTCTTAACTAAGGCTTTATAGGAAGAGAGAAATGGAAGGCATATTTTAACGTGTTAGCTTCAGAGTCTTTGGCTTCATCTCCTGCCAATAATCATCTTCTCCAAGACTGAGATGAGGGTGAAATACAAGTGATTATAAAGCAGGAACAAAGTAATCAGATCAGCTTGCATTTATGACTGTCCACAAACCTTATTACAATATGTTCAACAATATTGTAGAGGAAATAATCTTGAAATGGACATTACTTTTTAGTCCTGCTCTGTGTGCTACTGTTCTTTTCAGAGAATGTTAAAGATCTTTCTCTTATTGACTAATTTTTCTTCTTATCATCTGAGTCTGATAGCAATAGGTAAAAAAGTTAAAATTAAACTGAAGGACTCACATTAACATTCCAAATAAATGGCTTTTTATTTTTATTATGAAATTATATTAAGGAAAGATGAGGAAAGGAATATTTCCATGAAATAAAACAGTATGCCTCTTTATTGTTTCACAAGTGATTCATATTTTTCCATGAAAGCATATTTTTTAAAGCAATTTAAGTTCTCTGTTCCTTTCCTCACAAGTGTTCCTCAAGATAAAATCAAGGCTAGAGTTAGGTACAATTTTCCAACAAATGGCATTGCTATCTGCCATTTTCCAAGACACATTTAATTCATAAGCTATGTGAGTTTGAAAGAAGAATAATAGAGTAGCTCAATTTTATAAATGGCATATTTAAATTGTAGGGTTAATTATTTAAATAAAAGTTAATATAAAAATTATTTTATTTTTCCCAGTGGAGGGAAGTGAAAGAATAGCCATTCTGAAGACAATTGTAAAAATTATGCTGTAAAAATGGAATGGTAAAGATTTGAGATGTCTTGTCAGTTTTTAAATCAATTTATTCTAAATTGCCAGCTTAAATTTTTAAAGCATGAGTTGGTAAACTTTAATCTGATTAAACATATGTCTTTGTGAGGATATTTTAAGATCTCTGCAAGTCTCAAAAATTTAACAAAATCTGGTTGCTAGCTTAGCATATGGCCTATACTAGAGAGACATCTCTTAATTGACTAGAACAAGTGAATGTGTTCCCATTTCTCTGACAATGGAAAAGTGCCCAGGACCCAAATCTATTCCAGTTGGTTCTCCTCAGGCGGTTGTATACCACGCACATGTCTCTTTTAAAGCACTTACCAAACCATATTTAATTATACATGTTGGTAGGTTTTTTTTTTTTCTACTATGAACTATTTGAGGGAATATAGTAGTTTTTTGTTAGATGTTCATTGAATGAATGAATGAATTTAGTTTGCAGCTGAGTAGGTCACTAAAATGTCCAGTTTTATTTCAGAGGATTTTAAGGCAAATTTTTGCTCAAAGAATTATAAAAATAAAGGACCCTAATGTATGATAACTGGGGCGATGATAATTAAGAATCCTTTAGGGTAGAATAAACTTCATCAAACTACTTCCATGTAAAAGCTATAAAGGACCTTCCACTGTAAGGGAAGTAAGTTGATTTTAGACTTAGTACTTTTTAACAACTAGAAAATACCACACAATGGCTGCCATATTGAATATTCTGTGAATATTCAATGTTTTGCTATCCTCAGAACTCTGTGAAGATTTTGATGTTCAAAGATGCCAAATAAATCCCCCAAAGCAGCAGAGCTAGTATGTTGCTGAATTGGACCTTACATGATTATCTCCCAGCCTTTTCCTGTTCACCATACAACAGTGAAATCAACTAGCTCAAGTGAAATATTGAGCAAGAAATGATGATTTTGGATTTTTGTCTACAATACTTTTTTTCATTACTTGCTAAAATATATTAAAATCCTCATCAAATTAGGGGCGCCTGGGTGGCTCAGTTGGTTGGGCGACTGCCTTCGGCTCAGGTCATGATCCTGGAGTCCTGGAATCGAGTCCCGCATCGGGCTCCTGGCTCAACAGGGAGCCTGCTTCTCCCTCGGACCCTATTTCCTCTCATGCTGTTTCCCTCTTTCTCTCTCTGTCTCTCAAATAAATAAATGAAATCTTTAAAAAAATCCTCATCAAATTAGAGCAACAAGTTTTTGTTTTTGTTTTTTTAGTGAGG